TTCGCATAGGACTAGGGCACTGAACACAATGGGGGGTGGGGGTGGATTTGATAGAGTACATGATCAGATCTCATCCCCCAGTGGATCTTTATAGTATCCTCCCAATACTACAGCTATCTGTACTCCTTGAAAAATCACTCCTGAAGGTCAGTTGGAAATGTAGGGGGCTTCAATACAGGTTTTAATTTAACCCAATAGTTATTTCATATATACAAACTGTATATTAGAAACATTTCCATTTTATTGATACTTAGAGGGGGGATTGCTAGTCAGTGTTAAATGCTGCAGCCTTTATAGGTGAAGGGGAAGCAGTGGGAGAATCTCTGGAATGGGATCTCGGGGAGGAAAAGGCGATGCGGGGGGCGGGGACTAAACGCGAGATCTGCTTCTGTGAGCATCTTTCACTTGACTCGTTCGGGCCACGGGTAACTTCTTGTGCCTTTAGCTTTAGAGTTCTTTCGGCGTCTCTGTGCTAGAATCAGTGGGGTTTTAAAGCTTTTTAGTTGGGGGAAGCAATAGGTGTAGCTTTGTGGGAGAGGCCTGGCTCGTACAGCCCACGGGCCACACAGAAAGCCTTTACCTGTGCGAGCTTTACAGGTGCACTCAACAGTTGTGCCGTGTAAACGTGTGTGGGGTGCTTCTTGTGCACTAAGGTGATTTATATTGTAGGTCGTCTTAATGTGACTGGGGGCATATGGAAAACTTACCCAGGATGGGGCATGATCTGAGGGTCTAATTAATGGTTTAAGCAAGTTATGTGAGCAGGTGTGGGAATGAGTGATACCAGACCTTTTAATCTATAGTAGTAGAAAACAGCAAGAGTCCAATAGCATCTTAAAGACTAACAAAATTTGTGGAAGGGTATGAGCTTTCCTGAGTCACTGAAGAAGTGAGCAGTGACTCACAAAAGCTCATAACCTGCCACAAATTTTGCTAGTCTGTAAGTGCTACTGGACTCTTGCCCTTGTCTGCGGCTACGGACAGACTAACACGGCTACCCCTCTTGATCGGTCTTTTAATCTATAGTCTGTTTAGTTTTCTATAGTACTTCACATTTCAGTGGCTGCTTTTTCCTCTTACTGAACAGAGAGCTCAGAGTGGTTTGCCCAAGGCCACAGTGTGACTCCATTGCAGAAGTGAGACTTGAATCCAGATCTCTTAAGGTCCAAGTTTCACTGCTTGTTCGTTGGACAACAGTTGGTTCCAGTCCACAGTGAAAGCTTACCACTTTATCACAATCACTTTAATACCCCCAAGTAATTTTTTTCTCCCTGAATAATCTAAATGGGAGGGAGCTGAGATGAAGTGTGAGCTGCTACAGACAGAGTTAACACAGCTACCCTTCTTGATCTTTCAATCTATGGCACTTGAATCAGGTTTGGGTTCAAATCTTTACTTGATTGAGAATCGGAGGGAGAGGCGCTTTCCCGAAGGCGCCTTTCCTCTATGGCCGTATAGCAACCAAGGTGCCAGTCCACTCAGAGCCCTCTCTGTGGGCACTTGTGCCATCACCCCAGCCAGGCCCAGACCATCATTAAAGTGTCGAATTCTCTGCCAAATAATTTTAAGTAAATGAAAGCATTTGGGATTGCTTTCCTCACTTTGGATCACCTTAAGAATGTATGAGTTGTTTTTTCTAAAGTAAAACCTCAGTATTCAGGTTAAATTGCTGTGTTGGCACTTTGCGATAAATAAGTGGGTTTTGGGTCACAGTGGAATGGGATCTCGGGGAGGAAAAGGCGATGCGGGGGGCGGGGACTAAACGCGAGATCTGCTTCTGTGAGCATCTTTCACTTGACTCGTTCGGGCCACGGGTAACTTCTTGTGCCTTTAGCTTTAGAGTTCTTTCGGCGTCTCTGTGTTAGAATCAGTGGGGTTTTAAAGCTTTTTAGTTGGGGGAAGCAATAGGTGTAGCTTTGTGGGAGAGGCCTGGCTCGTACAGCCCACGGGCCACACAGAAAGCCTTTACCTGTGCGAGCTTTACAGGTGCACTCAACAGTTGTGCCGTGTAAACGTGTGTGGGGTGCTTCTTGTGCACTAAGGTGATTTATATTGTAGGTCGTCTTAATGTGACTGGGGGCATATGGAAAACTTACCCAGGATGGGGCATGATCTGAGGGTCTAATTAATGGTTTAAGCAAGTTATGTGAGCAGGTGTGGGAATGAGTGATACCAGACCTTTTAATCTATAGTAGTAGAAAACAGCAAGAGTCCAATAGCATCTTAAAGACTAACAAAAGTTGTGGAAGGGTATGAGCTTTCCTGAGTCACTGAAGAAGTGAGCAGTGACTCACAAAAGCTCATAACCTGCCACAAATTTTGCTAGTCTGTAAGTGCTACTGGACTCTTGCCCTTGTCTGCGGCTACGGACAGACTAACACGGCTACCCCTCTTGATCGGTCTTTTAATCTATAGTCTGTTTAGTTTTCTATAGTACTTCACATTTCAGTGGCTGCTTTTTCCTCTTACTGAACAGAGAGCTCAGAGTGGTTTGCCCAAGGCCATAGTGTGACTCCATTGCAGAAGTGAGACTTGAATCCAGATCTCTTAAGGTCCAAGTTTCACTGCTTGTTCGTTGGACAACAGTTGGTTCCAGTCCACAGTGAAAGCTTACCACTTTATCACAATCACTTTAATACCCCCAAGTAATTTTTTTCTCCCTGAATAATCTAAATGGGAGGGAGCTGAGATGAAGTGTGAGCTGCTACAGACAGAGTTAACACAGCTACCCTTCTTGATCTTTCAATCTATGGCACCTGAATCAGGTTTGGGTTCAAATCTTTACTTGATTGACCAGTGGTGGCGAACCTATGGCACGGGTGTCAGAGGTGGCACTCAGAGCCCTCTCTGTGGGCACTTGTGCCATCACCCCAGCCAGGCCCAGACCATCATTAAAGTGTCGAATTCTCTGCCAAATAATTTTAAGTAAATGAAAGCATTTGGGATTGCTTTCCTCACTTTGGATCACCTTAAGAATGTATGAGTTGTTTTTTCTAAAGTAAAACCTCAGTATTCAGGTTAAATTGCTGTGTTGGCACTTTGCGATAAATAAGTGGGTTTTGGGTCACAGTTTGGGCACTCAGTCTCTAAAAGGTTCGCCATCACTGGCCTAGGGCAAGCTGCTATCTTTAAGTAAAATAAGACCAATTTCCTGAAGTTTTCCTGAATTTCCTGAAAGCTGTTATGCAGATATACAAGGTAAAGATTGCAAAATGCTTAAGTGCTATTCATTATCTTTCCTTGGGTAACCTGAAGAGTGAGCCTGCAATTGGAAAAACAGTACTAATGAGCCTTGTATTTACCTAAGGGAAAAATCCTGTCGATTTCAGCAGGGCTTACTGCACAATAGGAACTAAGAACATTTATTTCAAGGGTAATTTCAACACTCATTCAGCTGGCTTCTATGATCAGTTGGGCATAATAAACTTAATTCTTTGGCTACATTCTGTGGGCTTATTCAGACTTTCACTGGGATGATCCTCATTGGGTGGTAGTGGAGTGGGAATACACTCATTCTCTATTGCATGCATGAAAATTCTTCATGCAGGGTCAATTCACACGTGTCTTTGCCTCTTCAGAAACAGGGATGGGAAGATCATGTTTATGTTCCTACATGTGGGGGAGCTGCATTACATTACTGTTTATGCAAGGTGGATGGAGTTGTGTGTGCTCATTTCCCTCGCAAGAGATGTCTTTTGCTTGTTTATTATTTGTTAACATCATTTATACCCTGCCTTTCTCCCCAGTGGGACCCAGTGTTTTTCTCTCCTCCGTTTCACCCTAACAACAACCCTGTGAGGAAGGTTAGGCACAGAGTATGTGACTGGCCCAATTTTCCATGGCAGAGTGGGGTATTTGAACCTGGGTTATTTGAACCTGGGTCTCCTAGATTCTAGTCCAACATTCTAAACTCTACACTACACTGGTCCATCTTTTCAGAAAGTTTGGTTGGTCCTAATAAAAAGATACTGCACAGCTGTTGTGGTTTGAGGGTCATTTTTTGATGTACTTATTTTTTGATGTACTGATGTGATTTGTCTATTTCAATAGTAAAACCCATATTTCTAGAGCAACACTCTGATTTTGTCATTAGACTGAAGGCAGGTATCAATTCTAACAGCAGGACGTAGCTTCTAGGCCTGGATCTGTTATCTTATTGCATTAATAATCATATCATGACATGCCTTAGAAAGTGCTTTTTTTTTTTTTGCATTGTTTTCCAGTTCTGTAATCCTAGTCCTACCACATAGTTTATTGGGTATCTTTGCTGTCTGATTTTTAAAAAATGATTTGTACCCTATCTTGAATCTCAGCAATAAAGGACAGTTATAAACGAAGTAAATAAAATAGTTTAGTAGGCATCACCTATGTTTGTTGATATGGCTGAGTGACTTAGTTCAGGGATTCCCAAAGCTTTAGTCTCCTGCTTAGAAACCATTTAGGAGTGTACTTGATTAAATGCACTGTCCACATTACTGTTTCAGCTGGGTATAATTCATATATATTATTGATGATTTTGGCCTGTACACTGTTGTGATTGCATGTTGCATTGTGTTTTAATCACATGCCGAACTTCATGTGAATTGTCTGTAATATTTACAGTTTTTACAATTTTAACATAAAATGTTACATGATTTTTACGATTTTAACAGCAACTGGCCTATTAGCTGCTTTCTCCCCCCCCCCCCATGTTAATGAAAATTGGGGGGGGGAAATTTTGCCCTATGGCACTACGTA